GAAGCTCAAATCATTCTGCCTTCTGATAAATCCTATCCCCACCTATTTCCTCTACAATCTCCTCTACCTGTCTTTACAGGTCTTAGTTTTACCAGCATTTGAATGAGGAGCTCTAGGCAACCTCGCACCTTCAATGCATGGAACAAATCTATAATGTGTGATTCTAGGCTGTGAGTGGTGTGTGAGAGAGACAGAGACTGAAATCCTCTCTCTGTGGAAGGTACAGAGGGCAGTCCAACATTCTTCTCTATTACCAAGAGTTCTCCAGAGAAAGAGGGCCAAGAGGAGAGAGAGGGAGAGAGAGAGAAAGAAAGAGAGATCATATAACCTGTTACATAAAATCCTATTTTATGCCCATGTTCCAATCCTGAGGCAGAAATTCTTTCCGGGGAAACGTCAGGTTTTGCTCTTAAAGCCTTCAACTGACTGGATGAGGGCCACCCTCACTCTCTAGGATAATCTACTTTCTTCAAAGTCAACCAATTGTAGACATTAACCATGTCTACAAAATGCCTTCTCAGCATCAGCTAGATTCATGTTTGATTGAGTAACTGGGTACTACGGCCTAAAACAGACATCATGCCTTCTAATCTGAGAGTCTCAGTTCCCATGTAACACTTAAAGCTTCTTCAGGAAGCACCTCTGCTCCAAAGCCCCTTCCCATTCAGGGGAGGATTTCCTGCTTATGAGGTGGTCAGGAAGAGAAATTAAAACTTTAATGACTTGGGTGAGGAGTTGGCATCTACTTACATTATACCGCCCACAGTATCTCCCAAGAGATAACCCTACTGATGTCTCAGCAACAGGCCCTCCAACAGGGGAGATTGGTTTTGTGTCAAAAGTGTGGCCAAAAAAATGCTCCCTCTGCCTCTGCAGGTGACTTGTTCTCACGCTCTTGTGACATGAATTTTGCATGTACACTATCCAGGTTCTGCCTAATCCAGCTGAAACTAAAATGTCAGGTGGCACTAATAAAATGATAGCATGGTTTGTTTTAAACAATGCACATCAGAAAAAAGAAGAAAGAATATTACTTCTTCTAATTATCAATTCTCCTTCTACATTCAACAGACAAATAAAGCCTTTGAATTACTCATGCTGTATCAGTCAAAACTCATGGTGCCAAAGACCCGCTGACTCAAGTTTTTCTGCACAGATTGACCTGTCCCCTCGGGGCTTCCTTACCTTCATCACCACCCCAAATCAAGGGCCATTAACTAGACTCCCAAGATAATTGGGTGATTTGAGTTCATACTTCTAAAACTTATAAATATCTTTTTCGAATAGTGCTACAAAAATACTTCGGAAGAGTAATTTAAAAATAAAATGCTGGAGGCCAGAAGAAAGGAAAATCAACGAAAGTGCTTGCATGTGAGTCTGGTTTTTTGACTGTTGACTACCTCAACTCACTTAAAGCTCTCAGGAACACAGAAAGTGGCTTCTATCACTTCACTGGCACAGTGTTGGGCACTTAGGGGACTAAAAGGACATTCCTGTTCGAACAAGAGAACAAGATTTCATCAGTGAAACCAAAACCCAGACACAGCAAAATTTTCCTTTAAATTCTAGTACCCAATCTAGAATCCTGGCTCATACTGACAAAGCTCTTGGGGGGATGCCCTTGGCCACCTGCAGATTCTGTCATGTTTCTACTACTTGAAAGCACACACCATTGTTTTATTCAGAGCATCAATTCAGTGCGGCCCAGCAACAAACATAGGCTTCCCTCATGTTCTTGAGAGAATCAAGAGGAATGACTGAGTACATTATGCTGCCTTAAGGTCTGGCCACCCTGTAAAGAACATAATGAACACTCGTTACACTGAATTTGGGATGTGCCAGTAGCTTTCCTGAGCTTAATCTCATTAGCTATCAGATACCATGGCTAATCCAATGTTCAGACCCATGTCTGCTGTATAATTGGGTTCAATGAATATATTCAACAATAAAGCAGGTGTAAACCCCACAGAGAAGTTCAGTGTCCTTAAAGAATCAATTACCTAACTTGGGGATAAAGAGAAGGGAACACCTCCTCACATACCTCTAATTATAGGCTGGAAAGCAAACCAGATTCAAACCCAACTCAACTCCTCGGCACAGTCATGTCAGTTCGGCAAGTAATCCACACAATAAGCTTCATGTTCACCTGGTTCACTCAAGAAGCCTTTATTTACTGACCAACTCCTGTGCACTAGTCATGCTAGAGACTTGGTAGGAAACTGATAACAACTGATGCTCATTCCCTGCTATCAGGTAGCTCAGAATCAAGATGACTGATAAAATTAGACCAACCTATTTCATCTGGAAGCATATTTGACATAACTTTTTATTTCCTGGAATCCTAAACTATCAGCAGTATTTCTTTACCCAATCATTCCAGAACTGTAATTCTAATTCTACTCACTCCATCTTCTGCCTTATATTACAGTGCTGTTCCTTACATCCAGTCTAGTCTCATGCATTACCATGACCTTTCCAAACCTCAATATCATATGGTTGTTTAAGATGGACAACTTACAGCCAGTGATGGCCTATGATGTGCTAGCCACTGGGCAAAATGAAAAAGGAAGCAACTCATATCATCCTTTCAGAAATTCTCAGGAGGCATTACAGTATCTCTAAGGTGAGGAGACTTGAGGCTAAGGAAAGAGATGTAAAGGAGAGAATGGATTGATGGCAGAACTCAGCTTCAATACTGGATTTACTGGACCTAGGTGCTGTGCTCACTACTGCAGGCTCATCCAGGTTGCCAGGGTTTGGATATGGTTTGAGTGTGTCCCCCAAGGGTTTGTGTATTTGGGAGCTTGGTCCCATACCAAGGGGTGAAGCCTTTAAGAAACTGGTAGTTGGGTTTTAGGGAACACTGTCCTCAGAAGGAATTTACATAGTCCTCAGGAAACGATGGTTAGTACTATGAAGCCTCTCTGGCTTCCTGCATCACCATGATCTCTCCTTCTCACATGTATTACTGTCACTGTAGTGCCATCTACCGTGAGGTCCTTCCCAGAACCAAGATAATGCCCTTGAGCTTCTGAAACTGTTGACCTAAATAAGTCTCTTCTTTATAAAGCACGCAATCTCAGGTATTTTGTTATAACAGTGGAAGAGAGATGAATACAAAGGTTCCCAAATAAGCAGCCTGCATGTGAGAAGCTGTGGCTTAAACAGTACAGTCTACATGCTAGGACATCCACCATGTTTAGGCATTTACTGTCTATGTGGTCTCAGCTATGGTATCTAATGGCTTTGTGTCTTGGCCTAAATTTCTTCCTTTATACAAAGGGGAGATAATGCCTACCTGTTAGAATTGCTAAGAGGACTGACATGTCTTACAAATATTTTGGCACTAAAAAATATGCTAATGATGGTGATGCTGGTGATGGCCTAAGATCAGAAGAAAGACAACAATCACTTGAGCTGATACCTAATATGCTTCCTGTACACAGCAGCAAATGTTCACTAACAACAGAATCTTTGGTCAGATAGCTCAATGCCCCCCAATGACCCTGGCTTACAAAGATCCAGAATATTTTTTGCAATTGAAAAAAACTCTTTTAAAGAAATATTCCCTATATAAATGCATTTGGAGCTGGTTTGCTCAAACATATCTTCAGAGGAAATTGTTCAAGCTCAAGTTAAAGACACTGGGTGGGAAAGGGTGGTGGACAGGATGCCGTCTGTTTCCCACAAGCCAACGCTGATTTACAGGTATCCCGGGACCCTCAAGAGATGTGGGATTATCCTACTGCAACTTAGTGACCAAAGCATTTGTCTAATCAAGGAAGTCATTTGGAAGGAAGTAAAAGACCCAAATCCAGTTTAAAAGATATATTAGTTCTACAACACTTCACTGTAATTATTATTTATTTAGACATCCCACAGGTGCCACAACTGTGTAATTCTATGTTGTGTTGAGGGCTCAGGAAATGACTGGGGTTTAATGCAGTTTAAACAAGCCATAACAACTTCCATACAGAATATCCACCCCATCGGCCTTTTCTCTAGACGTCCTAAACTATTTCTCAGGCGTAACTACACAACACATACTCCTAGGAAGAAGGCAGAGGAGCTGAGGGACATTCATTTACAAATGAAGCAGCTAAAGCCCACAGAGAACCAGCAACTTGTCTAGAGACCACAGAAGTATTCAGAATTTAATGGAATGACAGCTGTGGAGTCCACATCTTCCAGCCTTAGCACCAGGCTTGGCCCACTGAGTACTATAGATGCTCAGATTATCCAAACCCGCAGCGCCCCAAGCACTCAGGGAACTAACCTCAAGAAACCCATGGCTGATTAAACAGGACCTGGGCACCGAAACCGAGGAAAAAGTACTGAAGTAGTTCAGCCTTAGAGAAGGAGATGGTGAGAAAGAAAATGGCAAGAAAGGAAAGGAAGGTAAGAACCAATCCACAATTGCTTTATGATAACTGAGGGGTTCCTGCTGCCCACCTGGTAACACTACAAGAGACCTAGGCATTTTGGAAGGTGAGAAAATGGCTGCCATCAACTTCCTCCTCCCACGCACTCTGCACTTCCTCCCATCAAGGTTAGTATGGGTTCCTTTCCTTCCCTTTTCAATTTATGCCACTACTCTGCGTTCATTTAAGTTTCTGGTTGTCTTATGAGCTATTCTGCAATGAGTCTCAAACACTGGAGTGAAAGGTGGTTATCAACCTTGAGATTTATACATTTGAAATCACATGAACCCAGAAATTAACTTCAATTCCATGGAGAAAAGAAACACACCACTCCATTTCCCACCCTTGCATGTATAATAAGTTTGGGTGTTTTGCTTAGTTTATTAGACATCATACCTTTGACTGGTATATTCCTGCCACTTATCTAAAAACATAATTATTCCTTTGGTCGAAGAAAATGATGTCTCAAGTTTACAGATCACCTGCTAGATGCAATTTAGCACTTCTGGCCCCTCACTTTACTGCCCTCTGGCCTAGCCCCCTGACACTCATGCCTAAGATCAGAGAGACCACACACACCTCTGTCCAAACATCAGCGTGGACTTGGTCTCGGCCTCATTGAAGACAGAAGGAGAACAGCAAATGACAATGGTGGTTCTACAGTTCCCACCCAGGGAGTCCTGGAGAATCCGAGTCATCTTGCTATCCCGGTATGGCACGTGTGTTTTCTATTTAGGAGAAAAAAAGTACTGTTTTAGCAACAAGTAAGTAGGGATGGAGATGCTGAGCTTGGAAACACACGAAATAAGAATCTGTGGCCAGGTCTTTGAGTCTTACTGAAGTTTATAGTTTGCCAGTTCGGGACCCAGGTCATAGGAATCACCATTCATCCTTTTCGCCCAGCAACAGGCATCCACAGCCAGGATTCCCTCTCTCTTCTTCCAAACAGGCAAACAAATGAATCTCTGGGGTGTGTGGCAAAGAGAACATGCCAACCAAAAAGTGGCTTCTTATAATACTATTTAACAGAGGGGGACTGGATCACTTACTGTCCCTTCTGCCAAAGCAGAGATCACATTTCCAAGAGCAGACAAAGACTTATTGATATTTTTAGCTTCGTCAAGAACAGCTCCCTCGGCACCAGTTTTGCTGACCTACCAGAGAGAAGAAAAAGCAGTGAGCTGCACAGGACGGCAAGAGCACAAAGTGGAAAATTCTAATTCATATGAGGGCAAAGGGTACATCTTCCTGGAAAGGAAGAAAAAATAAAAGTAAGTAAGAATCACATTGATCAAACCGCCCCCGGAGCTCCAGGCTGGGGATTTGGTCTTACTAGCTGTCATTTTCCTCTCAATTAGGTTTTAGTGGAATGGCTGAAATGCCTCAAGTGGGAGAGTGGCAGATGCTTCCCTGGGGGACATCCATCCAGGGAAACCAGGCTCCAGAAGTGCTGTCACCATGGGTAAGCTGGGTCCTGGGAGACTAAACTGCAGTCTCCTGCCAGAGGGAGTCCAGAGGGAAGCATCAGGAGAAAACGCTGCCTGAGCCACAATGAATGGGCAGGGTGGGGAAAATTTAAATTACCAGCTCCAAATTCAGGCAAAGAACCACAGGTGGTAGGGGCGGTTGTTCAGACTGTTCTTTCCCTGCTCACTCCCATAACAAGGGGAAAAACAGAAACAAAAAGTATACGAAAGCATAAAACTTCTTTTCTTTTTTGCCTTGGAGAGGCATGAGGAGTCAATTACACTGTAAATCTGTATTTTTTTCCTCTGCAGCCAGAGGGGCCATGTGCAGTGCCTCCTCTGCTGTGTTATTACTGGTAATTTCACATTTATAGCATTTGCTCTAGGTAGAAAGCAGTTTACAGATGCTGGTGATAACGGAGTGGGGGGGCAGCATTCAACATGATTTATGTTTCCCCTGCCTGGACAACTGATGTTGGTGAGCAGCTGCTCTCTAAAGAACGGAGACATGAGAAATAATCTTAAACTGCACAAAGATGGACTTGAATAACATATAAAGGAGAAACCCTAACGATAGATGTGAATGCTCGTCTAGGAGGAGATTTCTTCAAGGAGCACAGATTCTCATCTCTCTTGGAATTGCGTGTGCAGGCGCCCTGTGATGGATCACAAATGATAACAATCTGTTCACACCGTGGTTGTTTAAGATACAATCATATTTGAGCACCTTAACTCCATGAAATATACAAGGCAGAAACTATCCATCACCTTACTTTTACACACAAGGAAAGTGAGCACCAAAGATGTCACACTGCCAACCTACAAGAAGAATGTTATTTAGGGGAGCTGGGAGCTAAAGCCCAGAGCTCTGTCCTACCAGATCACACCTGACACATTCATATAGACACATCTAGGGCAAAGGAAAACAGACATGAATAAAAGAAATCATAAGAAGAACACAAGTTTAAAAACAAACACCTCATAAGTAGCATTAGCAACAAGCACTGACACTGGCAGGCAGGCCTCCACTCTATCTGTGGGCAGTAGGAAATTTCCAGATGTATTTCGACCCTAAATACTCATCTCCGCACTCAGTAGGAGTGAAGGGGGCAGCCGGCTCCTCGTATGGACCTGTACGTGACCCTGAAATCAGGTTAATGGTCAGTCTGGAACTAAACAGTGTTACTCTGTTACTTCTAGCCTAGTTAGTTCTAGCCCACACAGTAAAATTTAGGCTCCCAGCCAGGAACACCTGATGGTTTTCCTCTATTGGCAAATGCAAATGGGAGGCCAATCCAAGCAGGCTTTACTTACATGGATATTAGTGGTCATACTTAAGTGTGGTGCAGTGTAGTAAGTGCAGATCAACTGTGCAGTTAGGGAGGCTGACTGAGCCTCAAGATTTGTCCTGATGGGAACAACCAGCTGATGTCAGTGATGATGGGAGAAAGGCATTGTGCACATACACTGGCTGGCTCTGTGATGCTATCTACAGGGGTCTGTGCATCAGGCAGGCTGTGGCAGCAGGAGCCACCAATGGTGCCTTGGAGGGGACTGGTAGGGGCAGGTTGGAGATTTTGGGAAGCCTATTTAGTCTGGAGTGTGGCCCCGGCCAGTGCCTGGTACAGATGGCAAAAGAGGGTCCTAAAAAAATCCAGAGAATAGTTAGGGCATGTGGGTAGCTGACTGAGAACAGGCCTCACAGCCTGAAGGAACCGAGACCACCCATGTGAAACAATGTCAGTAAGGGCCCACTGTCAGGAGAACCAGGGAACACAGAGAGAGCCCCAGGTTCTAGATCTTTCATCAGCAAAACAAACTTGCAAACACAGGGCTGCCACATGCCAAATGCAGAGCCCTTTCCTCCGGCCTGAGGCTGGCACAACAAGGGGAGCTTCCCTTTCTTTAGGAGTTCATGTCTCTCCCACATTTGCACAGCTGTCTCTGCCAGACTAGGCTCAGAACACCTGCCTGATGTCGTCACAGGGCCTACCAGGCAAAAACCAGTGTGAGCCTCCAAAGAACCTGCCTGTGATGCAAATAGAGGACTTCAGGACCAGAAGAGAAAGAACAGGAAAAAAAGGTTAAATTTAATAACACCTTGGCTGAACACTGGAAGCTTTTAAAGCTCTTTAAAACCAGGGAACAGAAAGGCACAAAATTATATGATTGTATATTATATAACTGGGGAAAATTATAGATAATATAAATAAAGAACCAATTACCTTTTCACTCCCAGCCAAATCAACCAAATAAAGCTTTCCACTGAGTTTTTTTTCAGTTTCTACATTCTCTTGTTTAATATTAATCAGGAAGATACTGTGACTTCTAGAGCTGTGTTCATTCATGTCTGAAAAGGAAAATAGTTTATTGCTCTACAGAGAACACAGAAACATAGGTAGTAAACCTCTGGTCTTTAAAAACACAGCCAATCATGCCTAATAGATCCATTTCTCTGAAGGAAGCACAGCCAATTTCAAAAGCTACTTGAGACCAATGTTTTATTTTACAAACAATGCTCATTCTAGAAAGAATTCTAAATATCTTCTGGCAGCAAAGAAATTAATCTAGAATTCTTAGTCAGCAGTTTAAGATAACAGATTCTCTAGGTCTATACGAATTCTCCATCCTACTCTCCAGGAAGCTCACGGCTTCTCTCCGACCCCACTTTAAATCCCCCAGACTTTATCAAGGTGATTAGCACCTAAGGTAGTCTATCTTAGTCATGTGTGTAAGCCAGGCCTTATCAGGAATATCAGAGGCTTTCTTAAGGAAGGATTAAAACTTTCTTCAGGAAGGATTAAGACACAGACCTCTGTAACCCATGCTAAATGAACAGAAGTTCTCAAAGATTAAATATGCTTCCTTAGAACAGGATGCTGGGGGAAATCCTTCCTTTGTCCACCAAATAGACAGAGAGACTCCAGCAAGTACTTCACTCAACCCTCACCAGCAATCATTTCTCAAAACCATTTTACCAGAGTATATGTTTTTAAAAAAACTAATGATCCCATTTTTTAAAAGTTAAAACTAATAAATTCAGCAACACTGCAGGATCAAAATCAACATGTAAAAATCAATTGTGTTTCTATACACTAACTGAACAATCTGAAACAGAAATTAAGGAAACAGATTACTTACAATAACAACAGATAAAATACTTAAGAATAAACTTCAGCCAAGAAAATGTAAGATTTGTGCATGAAAGCTGCAAAATGTTGCTTAAAAGATACTAAAGCAGACACAAGCAAACGGAAATGCATCCCATAGTCATCGATTAAAAGATCTAGAGTGATCTATAAATGCAATATGATCTTTATCAAAATACTAATTATTTTCACAAAAGTAGAAAAATTCATCCTAAAATTCATATGGGATCTCAAGATACCCGGAATGGTCAAAATAATAATGAAAAATAAAAACAAAGTTGGACATCTCACACTTACTGATTTCAAAAGCTACTACACAGCTAAAGTAACCAGAACAATGTAGTGCTAGCATAAAGACATTTGTATAAAGGGAGGGGTGAGGATAGGTAAGACACCTAAAAAACTAGCTAGCATTTGTTGCCCTTAACGCAGAGAAACTAAAGCAGATACTTTAAAGCAACTGAGGCCAATAGGAAAAGGGGAACAGGTACTAGAGAAAAGGTTAGCTCAAAAAGAATTAACCTAGAAGGTAACACCCACGCACAGGAAATCAATGTGAGTCAATGCCCTGTATAGCTATCCTTATCTCAACTAGCAAAAACCCTTGTTCCTTCCTATTATTGCTTATACTCTCTCTACAACAAAATTAGAAATAAGGGCAAAATAGTTTCTGCTGGGTATTGGGGGGGAGAGGGAGGGGGCGGAGTGGGTGGTAAGGGAGGGGGTGGGGGCAGGGGGGAGAAATGAACCAAGCCTTGTATGCACATATGAATAATAAAAGAAAAATGAAAAAAAAAAAAAAAAAGACGTTTGTATAGACCAGTGGAATCGAATAGGGAACCCAGAAGGGAACTTGTCCAAGCAGAAATAATTTTTGACAAGAGGGTCAAGATCATTCAATGAGAAAAGGACAGTCTTTTCAATAAATGATGAAGGGAAAATTAGGATATCTACATGCACCTTCGTCCCCCCACAAAAAAACAAATTTGACTCTTACCTTAGACCATATATAAAAATTAACACAAAAAGGATCATAAATCCAGGCAGGATTGTGAACACCTATAGTTTCAGTTACTCAAAAGGCTGAAGAAAGAGAATCACAAGTTTGAGGGCAGCCTGGGCAGCTTAGTGAGACCCTATCTCAAAAGACCTAAATGTAAGAGCTGAAACTATAAGACGCTTAGAAGAAAACATAAGGGAATTTGGAATATTTCTTGGCTATGACACCAAAAGCACAAGCAACAAAAGAAAAAATACATTAACTAGACTTCATAAAAACTAAAAACATTTGTGCATCAAAGGATATCAACAGAGTAAAAAGGCAACCCACAGATGGGAAAAATATTTCTGATAAGCATTAATATCCAGAATATATAAAGAACTCCTGAAAATCACTAACAAAAAACTCAATTAAAAAATAGGTAAAGAATTTAGACATCTAAGATATAAAAATAGCCAATAAGCACATGAAAAGATGCTCAACGTAACAAAACGCAAATCAAAAACACAAAGAGGTGTCACCTCACCCCATCAGGGTGGCATTATAAACCCACCACCCGCAGAAAACAGCAAGTGTTGGCAAGGATGTGAAGAAACTGCGACTCGTGTGCACGTTACGTAGGGCAGTGCAGCTGCTGTAGAAGTCAGTACACACTACATGTGAGGACCTAGAAGGCATGACGCTGAGTGAAAAGAGTACGGGGATTCCACTAACATGCCTGTCTGGAGTTGTCACATTTAAGAATGGCAGTTGGGGTAACAGATACAAAGTTTCAGCTGGGAAGGATGAAAGGTTCTAGTGATGGACAGTCAGTCCACTGTTATACCCAGTGCAAATGCACGTGAAAACACAGCTCTGCACACAAAGATGATTAAAACAGCAAATCTTACGTCATGTATATTTTACCACACTTAAAAAATGTGGCAGAATGATAATAATAACAGTAATGTTCTAGACCAGCAGTTTTTTGTTTGTTTTTGGCAGTATTAGAGTTTGATATCAGGGCCTCACACTTTGCAATGTGAGCCACACCTCCAGCCCTTTTTGCTTTTGTTATTTTTCAACAGGGCCTTCCACTTTTGCCCAAGTTGGCCTTAAGTCACAATCCTCCTATCTTGCCTCCCAAAAAGCTTGGATTATAGGCAGGAACCATTATACAGGGCCCCAGACCAACAGTTTTGAGTACGGAGGCCAAAATAAGTGGTCCAGCACATCATGAATAATTCATGACCAATAACAGCTTAAAAAGCATAGTGAATGACTTCTTTCATGTATGTGTGTGTTTTAAGCAGGAGAGTCAGAAGTGGAGTTTGACCTACACTGTATATAAGTGTCTGATTAATTATTGGGGTAGAAAAAAATGTTAAGAATTGCAGTTCTGGATCACAGAATCATAAAACCTCACATATAAGAGACTTAAAGAGCCTAAACCAGCCAACCAAACACTACTTGAATCTCTTCCACAACAAGGGAGTAAACGCACTACCTTTTCAGGTAGTGGGTTTCCCTGGGCAGCTGTGAGGCTTACAGCATTCTGCCTACGGTAGGTCAAAACCTGCCTCCCTCAAGCTTCCGCATCTTGGTGGTCCTCCCACGATCACGCAGAGCAAGCTGACCCTCCTTCTCATCGACAGCACCTTGAACATGTTAAGGTGCCCATATTGCCACACTCATCTCCAGTTTATATGAACTCACTCTTATTCGTGCACATCCCTCTGAATAAGGAACCTCATGCTCACTCTAACGCCACACGTGAAGAGCAGCGCCCGCGCCAAGGCAGTAACTGCAGAGCAAATGAGCAGATCTGAACGTGTCTGCTTTAACCCAGCTTTCGAGGGCTTCCCAAAGCTCCCAGCACTGCCTTCTCACTTCCACTTTGCCTTTCTTTCCCTGATACAGAGGGCACAAGTCTAACAGTCTGTGCATGACAGTCACGCAGAACTCCATGGCGTGGATTTTTTTCACCTGAACAGTAACATGGATGAGATAGATAAACTGAGAAGCTGACTTCTCCCCTTCTTTGGTTGGGAGTTGCTTGTTTTCCTAATGCGAAGCCTGAGGTTGTTATTAGGGTCCAGGACTCCCACCCAACATTTCTAAGGCCTCAGAGTCTGTGGACAATCAAGGGCACCTTGGCCCATGAGCTGCACGCACGCGCTCGTGCCATATGTATCCAGGAATCTCTGCCTGGGCCACTGCTCACCAGCCTCCTTCCTAGCATTATTTCATTTGTACCTCATCATCCACCCATCCTAGTCAGGAGGTGACATTTTATCCTACATCACAAGAAGCTAACACCACTGCCGCACTTACTTGTGACAGCCACATGTCGGTTTGCTTTGCCTTCATCTATCACATCCATGACCTCCTCAGGGCTCGAGACAAACCTCTCAGTGCACCCCTGCAAGAAAGGCAGAATCAGGTCAGGTTGGCCATTAAACAGTTGAAAAGGGACAATCTTGTGAAGCAGCTAAACATTTCCCTGTTGTTTCTTGCTAAAGGTTCAGGTAAGCACAAAGGCTACAATGTGGATCCAACAACTTCTCCTCCTTGCCTAGGGCTTGAATTCTACATTAGAGCGAAGTCTGCACCGACTTGGAGCAACCTAGCAGTAAACCATAAAAGAAATGCTGGATTTTCCCAGACTTTGAGTATGTGCTCAAATTCAACAGCAATATTTTCAGAAAACAGACACAAAAGAAGAAAATCGATGAGAAGTAATGGACAAAGCACTGCTTTGCTTTCCATCTTATTTACCTTTTTTGGGGGGAGCTGGGGAACTAGGACTGGGGTTTATGCTTGCAAAGCAGGCACTGTACTCTTTGCGCCACGCCTTCAGTCCATTTTACCTATCAACGGACACTTTGAAGTTCTAGACATAATGCTATGAACAAATTATATAAACTACTGCATTCAATGTCAAAGCCTTTTTAAATGTAAACAATATTAAATAATCACAATTTACATAAAGGGGGCTAGAAGTGTAGCTCAGTGGTAGAGCATGTGCTTAGCACTACAAGGCCCTGGGTGCGATCCTAGAACCAAAAATAATAGTAATAATTTACATAAAGGAAAGATAAAACTGAAGAAATTAAATGTTGATTTTTTTTCAACCAGGTGAATATTAAATATGAAAAACATGGTAAAACATCTATATTCCTTTTATAGAAAATCTTCTGGGCATCTTACGTAGTAATTATTACAATAATGACTGCAGAGAAATTAACAGCATCACCAGTCAAGTCATCTTCATACCTTTACGTAAGGAACTCTGTTTTTATCTTCATGAACAGCCAAGTTGGTCTTTGAGACTGCAGAGAGAATAACGATGACATGCAAAGAAGAAAAGAAAAGTTAAAGACCCTGTATTTAAAAAAATTGAGGCTGCTAGAGAAGACAGGCAAATTTAATCTTTTTGCAATTTGCAAGTTTTAAACTGTGGCTGAGAATGAGTACATAGCCTGAAGGCAAGAAAACATCTATGTAAATTTTCATCATTTTCTCAAGCACATGTCCTATAACTCATTTCAGCCTTCCTGGACTTTACTTACAGAGCAAATCAAGACAAGTATTCAGGTTACTCACCATCGAGTAAGTCCCTTATTTTGTCCAAGTAGATCTCAAAATAGGAAACCTAGTTAAAGACAAATTGAAATTCAAATAGAAATGCCACACTGTATTTCAAAAACATCATTATTAGAACTTCTAAAAAGCTTCTTGTCATGCACAGCTAAGAAGAATAAGAAGAAAAGAAAGCAAGTGAAGGGGCAGAGGCCTGAGTAGAGAGCTACAGAGGGTTTGCCTGTGTTCCTCCTGCTTCCTGCTGGTCAGCTTGTTCTGCACATCTCTGCTCAGCATAGACCACTCCCCAGCCCCACATGGGAGTGTGTTAGACAGCCTCTTACAGGAGGACTTTAGGTTGTACCTTAAATAAACACCAAGCAAATTTCTACTTATGACAATAGCTACAAAAAAAAACCTCCTCTGCAAGTAATTTTCAAAACTTAGTAGACCTCATTTGATTGCATGATACTGGTAGTCTCATCAGACCTAAAGCACAGCCCCCACATGCACATGACAAACAGGGAGGAGATAAGGACAAGGTATCTGGAATTACAAGAGCTCAGAAAGGTAAGAGAGAACTGGTGAAGGTGGTCAGGTTCAATAAAAGATTTGACTATGAGAGGAAAACAAGAAGCCGTCTAAATAATTTTTCTCAAACCTCAGCCCCAGCATCCTTGCATCAGTATCACCCACAGAATTTGTTTAAACTGCAGAGTTCTGAACACTACTGTAATCCTCCAGGATCAGAATCAAAGAGACTAAGACCTAGGAGCTTCCCAGTTCCACAAGGAATTCGTACGCTAGCTGATGTCTACAAACTGCTTCAACTACACATGTGGTTTTGGAGATTCAGTGCACACGTAGTCAGAACCCTAGGCCTCGATTTTCCCTCCATCACATAAAGTCATTAGACTTCATGATGTCAAAAACTATCTCTAGGACTCTACACTCTGTTTAAATCTGAATTCTGCCTCCAGATAAACTTTTCTCTCCCCCATTTTCATAAATGTCTTTGAAATCTAAACAAGGAAAGGGACAAAAAGAAAACACAATTTGCACCACATAATGATGTCTCAGTCAACAATGGAGCATGCATACGGTGGTGGTCCCTTAGAGTCAAATTGTCTATTGTCACCATAGCTTCCTTAGTGTGTGTGAGGAAATTCTATGATGTTCACGGAATGACAAAATTACCCTTCAGTTTATTTCTCAGAATATTAATATCCCATCATTAAGCCACCGTGACTGCGGTGCAGAGTAGTAAAGTGAACTGTGACTGCACACATGAAACTTTACCCCATATGCCAGCTCTGGATCAGTCTTGCCTCTAACTAGGGACACACGAGGAGTCCCTGCACCAGCACTAGTCCCTACCAGACTTGGCCCTGGTTCATTATCTATTGGGTGCCTCCATCTGGAACTACCTAACTTCCTGGGAGATTTGGATTCTGGCTTTGAACCCTGGAATCTGAAGCTGGGCATCCTCTCTCCTAGTTGCCTATGTGTCAAATGTCACTGTCTACTTGAACATCTGCCCAACTCTGTCTCTCAGGGACACACGTACCTGACATTTAAACAACTCACCACTCTCAATTTCCAGTTCTTTTGAAGTTTTTGTTTTGTTTTTGTTCTTGTTTTTTGCAGTCCTGAGGATCAAACCCAAGGCCTCACACATGCAAGGCAAGCACTCTACTGCTGAGCCATCTCAGCCCCTCACTGCTCTCTGATCTCTCATACTGCCGTATTCCTCTCTGCTCCAGTTGTTAGAAGTCTGTTTGGCCTTCAGTCACAGACATCTCTGACCCAGCCTCCCTGCAGCCAGCTCCCCTCTGGATTATCTGGTTTTCATTATGATTATTCCACACTACCTTAAACACCTGGTCTTACTTCCCCAGATTACAGAGGAAATTAATTATACCTGAAAAGTAGTCATGAACTAGATACTGACAAATCTGGCAATTAGAATCTTGATCACATTTAATATGAGTAGAAGCAGAATTCTGATTTATTAATTTCTGCTTTGGGTAGGGTATCTAATTTTGTTATGTTGCCATTTCAAAGACTTTTTGAGACCAGGCAAAAGAAAAATAAATAGGCATTGTTTGGCATTAAGCCATAGCATGTTCAGAAATAATGTTTAAAATCTCTGTGGGATAAATTTTAAGGAGATTTTTCAAAACTGCCTTCATCGACCCTCTTTCTTTTTATTTAGCCTGTCACTACTCAGTTCCAATATAGTAGTCAGCAGCTAACTCGTCCACTTGTAATAATTATTATTTATGAAATGAGTAAACCTAGCTACAAATGCAAAACAGGAATCTGATCTACAAAATTTTAGCTCTAGAGACTTAGAAACTAGTGCTCCTCTCCTCCTCTACTCCATGCAAGGTTGTTTTATCTTAATAAGATTCTAACACAAAGACACTATTTCCAGGGCAGTAATTGGTTTAACATCTGATTTCAGGATTATCATGTAAGAACGCTGCAGTAGTTTAAAGTATTTAAATGCAAACAGCCTTAAAGAAGCACTAAGCTTCTAAATCTTGATCCCATCAAAGCAACAAGCTTCTGTAACCTTACATATAAAGAAGCCTGGCAAGGAGAGGCCAACAAAGGGAACTGTAAGGAAATGTGTTTTGCTGAATGTAATTTATAATTGGGCAAACAGTTTTAGCCTTCTTTTTATGTAATTTAAGAGAGAGAGGAAGTTTAATATAAAGCAAAAGGTACTGAATGTTAGGTTGAATCTAGTAGGGACATTCATAACTTGGGCCAGCCAGCTCTGTGTCTTTGAACTTCAGCTTACTCATCTCTAAACCTCTGGGTCTGGTGCACAAAGGCTTCAGCCTTTGGAGAAATCTCTTGGCTGATCTACTCAACTCTAAGACTTCTCAGAACAGCCATATCCTCCCCATCCTTATCAACCCCTCTCCAGTCATAGTGATGGAGACCCAGACACCAGGGCATGAGCACATCTGCTCATGGTGAGCTCAGTGAGCCCCTTCCCAAAGGAAGGTGGGATTAGAAATATGGAAATGTGAACCCCGAGCTGCCATGCTGCCTAACCCCCTCCACACTAAACAGAGAGAAAGGTGGTCTAAAATAAGACAAAGAAGAGCAGCAACAGGGCAGAAGAGCGGGGACTACAGTGGGTATAGACTTTCTTTAGAGGATGATGAAAATATTCCCGAATTAGATAACAATCATGATTGCACTATTTGAAAAATATACTAAAAACCACCAATCTCTGCATTTTTAAAGGTGAATTTTATGGGATATGAACTATATCTCAATTCTTAAGTTAAAAAAAATATATAAAGAAAGAAAGCAAAGCAAAGCAAGGTTCAAATTTCCTGCTCTCCACAGCCCTGAACCATGCCTACTATTAGATTCTTATTTGCTTAAACAAGTGGTCTTCAATAATCTGCAAACAAAGGAGTTCTAATGAATATATCCAACATTGAATTTTATGACTTAAGAGTCATAAATCTCTCTTTTAATTCAAATATAAACCAGAACAGAGGCTCTAGTTTAAAATGAAAACAAAAAAGAGGAGAGAAAAGATCAGGAGGCAAATGCCTTTCTGGAACACTTCTCAGAATGTGCTCCTCAAAACATGGGTCTGTCATTCCCTAAAGGGGGATGATAAAGGCATCCTTAACGATACAGGGTAATATGGTATAGTGCATGTGCCCTTTGCAGTCATATTACTCAAAACATATTTAACTTGTGATAAATTTAACACTGTGCAACAAAGTGTTTTCCCAGCTTATCTGACCATATGACTCTTTTCTCTGTTAGCCCACCTATTAATAACACTAGGGACTGTGTCCATGAAACACACTTTAGGTAGTGCTATCCTAACCCAAACACAGACATATTCCAGTCCTAGCTACAGAAATCCACAGGGTAAATAGTAGAATTCAGACAATTATCTGCATGATTCCATCCTTACTTTTATTTTAAGCAAACCATCCAGATGAGTAAGTACTGGCCTACATCATTAAATTAACAGGGCACTGTTTCCCACAAGAATGTCATCTGACTTAGAAAGACCATCTCTTACATCTTTATAAGGAGGAAGTCTGAGAAATATGATTTGGAGCTCAGTGTATTCTCTTGGTACTCACTCATAGCACTTACCTTGATGTGAAACTCCAGATTCTCATCCATGGAATAAATATGGTCAAAGATATCATGTGCAATCCTCGGGATGATCCCCATGAGCTGAGGGTCATGTAGCTTCCCCTAGTGGGTAAAAAAATTAAGATGGACAGTTAAAGAGTGCTGCAATATATGGGAGAGAGGAAAAGGACTGTTCCCTGGTTTTTTTTTTTCTTTTTTGTAATAATGTCAAGTTTAATCTGCCAAACCTAAGTTGACTCTGTGGATCATGTTTTCCTGGGTCCCACACAATAAACAAAGGTTTGTAGAAATGATCCTTGGGTAGGGTTAAAAATGGGCACTAGTCCTGGCCCATCCCTAGGTTTCTTAAACAGAGTTCCATGGAACAGGGAGTTCCACACACAGGCTGTCAGTTTCCTGGGATCTACCAACATGCCAATAGACCAAAAGCTGGCAATAACTCAACATGCTCCTCTTCTTATCCAGCAGGTGCTGAGGGCCCCACAATTTTCCCTCCTGTGGCTATTCAGGGCAGCAAGGCAGGGGTGTATGTGAGCAGTGTGCGGGTGAGAAGGAGGAAGAAGAAGAAAGGGAAAGAGAATATATAGGTTTTACTTGTGGTATTTATTAACTGACTAGCACCTGCAAGCCCAAGTGAGTTAACCTTGAATGAAACCACTTTGAGAATTGATAGACTTAATTTCATTAAAGCAATCATTGCTCAAAAATTTCTAAAAACTTTATTCTCAAAATGCCTTCAGTATCATTTTACAGACCAATCAAGAAAATCCATTTCATCAATTTCTTTTTAAGATCTTTAATTCCCAGCCTGAATTGTTCCAAACAATTTTTGGCTGTTTCCAAAACTCAAATCTACTTTATTTAAGATATTATCACATACCTTTTTCTCCCATTTTTCCAGTTACTTCTATTTACATTATCTAAGGGGTAGAGGGATAAATGAATTCTGCTATTTGACTATTACTAAATCCATGTTTAAGGCCCAGAAATTGCATCTTCTCAATATTTTCAAGAGATCCCACAGGGGCTAGAGTTTTAGTTTAGTGGTAGAGCGCTTGCCCAGTATGCACGAAGTCTTGGGATCATCCCCAGCAGAGGGAAAGGGAAAACAAGTCAGAGGAGGCAAAAGAGGGAAAGGAAGTGAGAAAGGGTGGGAGAGGAGAAAAGGAAGGGAAAGAAAGAACATAAAATCTGCCAGCAATTCCTACCAAGCCATGGCCTCAGTGTGGCCTTAGGTGTGTAACTTCCAGAATCTTCTTTTAAGCCCACCGTCAAATGAGCACTCATGTTTTCTCTTTAGTCTCCTCTGGATGGCCAACAACCTTGATCATGTTGACCCATATCCCGTTCCAAATATAATTAGGGCCTGGAAGATCAGCTTTGTTTTCCTCAGTTAATCCTCTTTTTCCTCCTGGTCTTCACCACACAGTACCTCTCTGAAGGTAACTTGTAAATCAACATTTGAGCTAGCAAAAGCTAGAACTCACATGAACCCTGACACTAAAGACAAGTCTTCCTTTGCACACCTGACTCTTGACCATCCACTCTATTAACAACAGCAGAAAAGCAGATGCCAGGTATGGCTGGCCTCTAGAAACACTGAAAAAGGATAGTTCTCTAGAATTCCATCATCTGTTAAAAACAGTAAATCAATGGATATATTTATGTTGTTTTTCAGTTTGACTATGTACACACTAAAGATAAGGATGGCCAGAGCACATGTATTTCCTCCAACACTTGGGAGACTTAGTACAATATTTATTGTATATAATTAGTGCAAAGCTTAAGGTAAATAGGATATATACAGGGCTTGGAGATCAGGAAGGACTCAGTAAATGTTGGCATTGTAACATTCAGTTCATAGCAGGTGCTCACTGAGTAACTATTGGTGCTTATTTGACCTGAAGAACTGGAAAACACATTTCTACCCCAGACCATAACTATATTATTACCTTCCTAGGAAGACAGCACCAAATAACTGAGACTGAGTCTCAAATCTTGGTAACATTTAAATCACATAGGGCATCACGAGCACGCAACATATCAGACCTCGGGCCACATGTTCTGAACTGTGAAGACTGTTGGAAGAAATGATACCTAGGATGAAAACACAGATCTCCTGCCAGTCAAATTTCACAGTTCCACATAGCCAGTCAAAAGACCTCACTACCCAAACCTCCAAGGCTCTTGAATAATTCATGATAATCCTTTAGCTTCTCCTCAGTGGTCCACGCTGGAGAAGAATGACTGGTAATCCAAAAATCATTTACAACTGACTCAAATCTGTTTCCCTAGATGCTTTCTCTTTCAACAGATTCATCTTCTAATTGATTTCTGGCTGGAACTGAGCTTGCCAAAGCAGTGTGTGTGTGTGTGTGTGTGTGTGTGTGTGTGTGTGCATACATGCATGTGGGGTACATGTGTGGTGTGTGTATATGTGTGTAGGTGTGATGTGTGTGGAGTGTGTGTCTAGTTGTGGTGTAGGGAATTATGGGCCATTGTGAGGGGGTGTTTGTGGTGTCTACTGTATGTGGGGTGTGTATATGTCTATGTGTGCAGTGTGTATATGTGAGGGGGTGTCTGTGTGTGCTATGTATCTCTGTGTATAATGTATATGAGATATATGTATGTGTGAAGCATGTATGATATATGTATAGCATACCCATGTGTGATATGTATATCTATGTATATGTGTGTGCTATCTATATAGGAGATGTATGTGATACATGTAGAGTATCTGGGATGTACACGGGATGAATATGTAATGTCTGTGTGACTGTGTGTTATGTGTATCTGTATGTGTGATGTACATGGAATATGTATGTGTGTGGAATGTGTGATGCATATGTAACGTGTGTGTGTGTGTATGTGTGCAAACATCTTCACTGAGTCTATGCTGACTGCTTGCAGATGAAATGCATGGGCACAGACACACAATGCACAGTCACCTCAGGTCATAAACAGTGGTGAAGAAGCTGTGAGCTTTAGAAATTTAGGAAACAGTAAGGGCCTTCCAAGCTGAGGTAATAAGAGATGGCTTCCTTGGGAGACAGCAGATCTTAATGATGAGTAAGATGAAGCATAGTAGAGGATATGAGCAGAGAAGGTAAACTGGCAGCGGCAAAGAACAGGAACTGGGAACGAGCTGTGTCCATTTACAGAGCAGTGAAAGTGCATCCTGGCTGGAGGATGCACAAGAGAAATGAGCTTCCTCCTCTTGCTGATCCCAGAGACCAAACAGGAGAAGCAGTTTACAATTCTCTCCCAACACATTTCCCACTAAATGTGACCTTCCAGGAGCAGGTATGGAAGAAGCTCATGACCCAGGCCATCGCCCACTGAACAAGACTCTTTGTTTCAGTGCTAGTGCCTCCTGGATGATTCAGGACAGAGTTTTCTCAAGCACTGAGATAGGAGAACAGGCAGCCATAAGCACACAAGCACTCAGCACACTTGGCTCAGCACTGAAGATTGCACTACTCCCTCCTAGTGTGCTGAAGGCAATACCCTTCCCAGCATCACACTGAACAAAGGGACAGGTCCCTCACTCTGGCTATAACCAGCACCCCTGTACCCTCCCCAGTAGCACCCTGGGTACTTTACTGACAAGTCCACAGTCCTCACATGTCGGTGCCTGCCAAGCTCAGCACCAGCACTGTCCTGTGAAAATCTGCCTTAAATGCTCCATCATGAGAAGCTAATCTTCAATTTTATGTAGGCTTATTTGTTTATTCCTCTCAATGGAAGATAATGGAAACAATGCTGGATGCCGGACCCAAAGTAGGGAGATTAAAATGAAAAACAGCTTTAAAATGTGACAGTTCTGTCCACTCGGGGAATTAACATCCTCTTCTGAATGACTCTGAAAGATCATAACGTATAATTCCAAACACATAAAATCCTCCTTTCTGAGGATGCAGACCCTGCAGAGCTTTTCTCACTTAATTGCATTCCAGGGCCCTAGATTTCTAGTCTCCTGCAGTCTCTATAACCTCAGCTTGGGGCTCCACCTTTCCTCTGCTTTTCTCTTAAAATATTCCCTTCCTTTCTCCAATCTATAATTACCCTACACAAGAACAGGTTCAGGGAGATGACTGGGTGGCAAAGGAAAGGAATTACATCCATACCATCTCCTTCTGTCTACAGGCATTGTGAGCTTCTGAAGTCACAATAATGAAAAGCAACTCATGACAATCAACTGACAAAGATACAGAGGTGACAGAATTTAGACAATTGGACGTGACACCTGTACAGAATTTAGTTCCCATCAGGTCTCCCAAGCAAGGAGAGTTTACACTGTGAGGTACCAAAGGCTCAAGAGTCTCTAATTTAACAAAATGCCACCCACATTGGTACTAAAGGGCTGGCATACCTCTGTCCCTTCACTCCACATACATTTATTTTCCCCTCAAAATAAGAGTCCACTCTGGGGAGCGTCTCTCTCTTGATGTCTTACATTTTAAACTTCTGACATTTAGCCAATACTTTACATTTCCCAAAGATGAAATAATCCCAAAGCTTACGAAGACGCTTCTGTAAGCATTCCTTAAGTGTTTAGAGGATTTTAAATACTAAGGATATTTTTTTCTTTTGTACTGCATGTAGCCTGATAATTTTCCAAAAGCCTCAAAACTGATGGATGCTCTGATGACACATACACCACATCATCTCTCTCTCCATCTCTCTCTCTCTCTCTCTCTCTCTCTCTCTCTCTCGCCTTATGACCTAGAAGGAGTGTTCTGTCCACAGATACTGGAGTGGGTAAGGCTCAGGAAGTCTATAACCTCGACTTTTCTGCGGTATACAGGGTCAAGGGTCTGAGGCACAGTGAGAGAGGAAGGCGAAGGGCAGAGCACTGAGATGTCAGGGCAGACGCTTTCCAGATGTACCGCTGTGCAGCGTGAGGTGCAGAAGCGGTGAGCAGATGTAGCTCATGTGTTGGGCAACAGTCCTGCTTGAGACGAAGTGGCAAATAAGCCTGGTGCTTCTTTAATCTTCACAGGCTCTGAACCACTTTGTCTTCAGCAAAATGTGCAAGAGTGAGTCAACACCACTGAAATGAGATCCCCGGTGTCACACCCCCATTTTGAAGTCAGTGCACAGAACGTCAGAGCCCTGAGGATTAGCCTTGCGCCTTTGAAATCGCTTCTTCAATAGGAATGATTCATAAGCTAAACCTACTCTGCAGCAACCATCACAGCACTATTCCCAGGAGGGATTCGTAAATGGGAAAGAAAAAAAAACCTTAGAAAATGAAGGATTAGGGATTCATCTTACCCTGCTGTTTGTAAACCAAATCCCCCAAACTTGCTCTGTAAGGTTTCTTACAATAAGCACTCTCTCTTCCTCTCCTCACCTGTCAGGTGGGCCTGGCCTTCGCAAGACTTATCCAGTCCTGAAGGCCTTGCATGAGTCTCTGGTAAAAAAAAAAAAAAAAAGCGGGAAAAAAAGGCAGTAAAGGGGCCCAATTCTGTCTGAGATGTCCCTTGTTTGAAAGACAACCTGAAGCCACAGAGCTTCGTGACCAACAAAGTGAGCTGTGGTCACATACTCAAGTGCCTGTAGGGCCAGGTGTATAAGTTAAAGAGGAAAGATGCTAAATTAGGTTCTGATCCTTCTCACTGGGTGTGACGTAGGTTGGGATCCACTGGAGGGTCCCACCCCACCCCATATGCACGCATCGGATGTCCAGGACCACCACACCAGTACCATTCTGACACATACTTTACGGAGCCTCTGCTCAGTGACAGCACATTTCCATATACAAGAAATGTTACCAGAAAGATGATGGGAGCTGTGAGTGTAGCTCAGTGACACGCACTTGCCTAGCATGCATAAGGCCCTGAGTTCAACCCTAGCACTTAAAAAAAAAAATGGACAAGACAATGAAGATCCCTACTCTAGGGAATCTTGTATTTTTGGTTAAAGTGAAATTCACCCAGTGTTACTGATCTTCAGACTGTTTAACCTAAGAACACGGAAAAAATAGAACTACAGAAAAATTAGAATCAAATTAGTCATTCCATTTTAAAAGCCGTCTGCAATTTTTCTTAAAAACCACTGTGTGAGCCAAACAAAAGTATGTTATGAGCTGAATTTAGTCCATAAGCCAACTCCTTTAAATTTGTGACTTACCGTTTTTATTTGTTCTAAAGAAACTCACCTCCCCAGGACAAAGAACTTCTATAGAAGGTCTGTTAGTTAGGTTGGGCTGTAGTCCATAAGGATGTGCAAACTACTGTCTACTCACAGATTGTGTGTGTGTGTGTGTGTGTGTGTGTGTGTGTGTGTGTGTGTGCCGTTGGGGATCCAACTCAGGGCCTCATGCATGCTAAGCTGGTGCTTTACCACTGAGCTATACCCCCAGGACTGGTGATTATTTTTTAACAGAATTTATTGTTATAATTGGACAGAGCTATCAACCAAGGATATTTTTCATACTCAACTCTTGAGACTATATTACTCACTGCTACTTTAAAACTCCTCAAAGACATAATTAGCTGGCCAAACTTAACCATCCTGCCATGCACACCTCAAGTTTTGCTAGGAGCACCAGCTCTACCCAATCAAGGCCTGCCATGATAGCATCTGCAAGCTTACCTCCATGGTGTGAGTTTTTCCTGACGATGTCTGTCCATATGCAAAAATGGTCCCGTTATAACCTTCAAGGACATCTTCAAACAAGAAAAACATAAAATTAAGTCATTACTTTGATCCTATGCTGGGTTGGTTGCATATTTTAAAGTTAGTTTCCAAATGGTCCATCTCATTTTTCACACAAATGACATGGGCTAACTCCATGTGCTTTTTATGTAGAATTGTGAGATAAGAACAGAAACCAGCACCTCCACTATTCCACAAATAGAAAGAAATGAACTCACATTTCTACAGAACATATTAATGAAGAAGGAAGGAGATACACTTTTCCCAGTAAGATCAAGCAGAAACTTTTTTAGTAGTATATTTAACTATTCTTCTATACAATGATCTTGAGATCACTTGGGAAGGATATATTATCCATGGGCTAAGCTTCTCGAACAGTTTAGACTGCAATGTCTCACATAAAGGCTTGGTTTGGGTCAGCTAACCTCGACCAGGCCAGCTCCTAAGGGAGTTTTCTCATGGAGGTCTTACCAGAGCCTCATTAGAACAGAATCCAGAACAGGGAGGGCGGGTGGGGAGCTGTAAACTGACCCCACGGTGACAATCCATTCAGCAGGGAAACCAGCAGGGCCCCCACTTAAATTTAATGCCTCTGTTTTTTCAGTACTTGTGCTAGCAAGGCAGCCCAGGTCCATCAGCATCAGGAATTTCTTTTAATTACACAATGAACACACTGTGCAAACCCACACGCACGGCAGGCCAGCTTCCGTTTCACACAGGGATTGGGGGAGGCGTGCAATGAGGGTTGCTTTCTGCTGAAGTGCTGAAGATTGTCTGTGGGAATTCTTTCAAAGCAGCAGAGGTGATTAAAATATATTCCCTCCTGCCTTCCTGCTCATCCACACAAACATCACCGAAATGGAAACAATGCATAATTAATATACCCGGCCCGCCACTCCGCACCAGGGGAGGAAGTCTTCACACATGTGGACAGTGAGGGCAGAGAGAAGAGCCCCATGCGGTGTCCTCTCCAAGGCCATGTGAGAAAAGCAAGCCCTGCAATCAGCTCCATCCATCCATTGCAAATTGGGAAGCAGGGAGGTACACTCTGAATTTTATGTTGCTGGTTTTTTTTTGTTTTTCTTTGTTGAGTTTTAAAAAAAAAAAAGATTTCATATGCATTTTACTGATCTGAGGTTGCTGGAATGTGAAAACTGGGATCAGAAAAGAAAGGATTTTCTTTCTGAAAGCTTAAAAATAAAGAAAAATTAAATGTTGAGTTTTTTTAGTTCTAGAAGCCCTTAAGAGTTTGCATCAAGCCATGTTGGGGGAGGGGGTGGACTATTCACGTGTTCACACATATCCACATATCAGACTTCTGGAAATGGCTTCTGGAGTTGGTTTCCCTGGTAACAGCAGAAAGCAAAAACTTGAAGAAATGAGTGTTAGGGTTAGAGGTTCAAGATTCAGTTTCCATGAAAATGCCAACTTGCTCAGAGAAAAGGTTTTTATTCCTCAAGCCTGAAGATGGTGGCGCCTCTATACTTCTGCAAATATGATGTGCTTTGAGGGACCAGAAGGAAAGAGTTCTCACCCTTCAGTTGTGCTTTTAAAATTCTATATTCACAACCAAACAATTCTAGGCAATTGGAATGTCAGCCACAATCACAACACAAACCTTCTGTTTATTAGAAATTCAACACCTTCCCCCAAACTGAAAAGGACTTTTTTTTTTTTCTTTTTTGGCAGTGCTAGGGTTTGAACTCAGAGCCTCACACTTGCTAGGCAGGCGCTCTCCAGTTGAATCACTCTGCCTGCCCAAGGCCCTCTTTATTTTAAGCCCCTGTGTATGAAGGGCTTGAGGACCTATTAGTCCAGGTGCTCCACAATGCTAAGGGCTCCAAGGCCAAGGTCCAGTTCCCTTTCTTTTTTAACAGGGTGGCTGCCTTACCTCCACTGTCCACCTTAAAAGCAATCATGCATCCAGGAGTCCCCAGGAATAGAGCAAACTGTCACATCCTAAAGGATATTCAGGTCAGAGCCCAACCCATGCATCTTCCTCTGCCAGGAAGCAAGGAGGCCTGACATCTGCATGAGGCCACCCAAGTCCACTCTCATCAAACACAATGCATACTCCCACTAGCTTCTAAGTAGTTGTTGCTCCCAGAAGTCCTGGGATTAAGGACTGGGTCATGTCTATGGGAAGGAGCAGCATTTCTTGTTTTGGACAAAAACACTGAGGAACACATGGGACTGTACTAGGAATCTATTCCTCACTACTATTTCAATTAAGCACAATTTCTTTTTTTTTTTTTTTTTTTAAGAAAAAGAAAACCTATGCAACCCCATTAGAATAAACTCCTTTTGGCCTGAGTATTTACACTCATATTACAATTGATTCATTGCTAAAGAACTTCTCCCAAGTTCAAGGTTGAACGGAGCTAAGGTTTCCCTATATGGACTCAATTCTGAACTAGACAGTAATTTAAAAAGAAGATAAAAAAACAAAAACAAAACTCTTTTAACCCAGCATTAGCTGTTTTCTTCCAGGTTTTGGGAGCTCATATGTTTGCTCAGTCTATATTTAATTTTAAGTGGAAAGGAGAGGCATGGGAACAAACAGTGAGTTCAGAAGGTGGGTGCGAAGGAGCACAGAATGCAGGAAGGTGAGACCCAACCTGTGCTCAACACTGTGCAGAGCCACGCAGTGCTCTGCCCACCTCCAACAGAGACACACACAAAAAGGCACTTTCATCACACTGAATGGCAGACAGTTCCTGGGCTCAAGGAGTGCATTTGTTTTAGTCTCTACTAAAACAGAATGACTGTTTCTACATGCCAGCCACACTCAGCCAGACAGAACCTTTCTTTGTGAAGGGGTCTGGCGTGATGTGATCTCAGCTCACACCACACAGCCTGCCACAACTCACCAACCAGCACCCGTCCATCCAGCAGCAGGCAAAGCCAAGTGAGCTTCCACAAATCTGAGGGCCTTCTCCCTCCCAACAGGAGCAGAGAGGATGGGACACTTGGAAATGCTCTCTGCCTCCAGTTACAGATTTCAGAAGCCCAGGATTGCATCCAAGGCATTGGACACTTCCGAGTCCAGGTCTTGCTGGAGCAGAAGTTAGTTCCATTGTTAGTTAAGAATTTGGGGAAGATGTGATCATTGGTGTTCCCAAGGAGGCTGTCGTGGCCTCCTACGCCTTTCCAGGAGAAATGGTGTCCTCTCGGGGGCACTACGGTTTCTGACAACAGTGGCTAAAAAGCTACGCTCATCTTGGAATCCTAAGGCTCTTACCAGCCAACCAAACTACTCAAGTAGGCCATGCCACAGAATGTCTAGCTGGACACCAGTGGCCAAGCAGAATGCTGGACCAGAACAGCTCGAACAGCAGTCACCTCCATGCCCAGGCAAAGGCACAGTGTGTTTCAGAATGGAAACGCACTTCATGATTGGCAAAGAGCCACAGCTACCACAAGGCTCTGGAACCACAATTGCTATTCTCTTTCCTCTACTCTCCTCCCACACCCTTTCCTGTTCTTGTCCTCTCACAATACTAGTCAATTGTCCATATGGCCTGACAGAAAGCACCAGTTCATAAAATAATTATTTTGTGATTTGCTTAAAAGGGGAAGGGTAGTTCAGAAGAATATAAGTCAGTCGGATAAACCAGACTCAAGTCCCAGCCACACTCCCCCAACAGATTTGGCCAAATTCCTCTTTGGTATAATGGGTATAATAATGCTCACACCTCATAAGGTTCATATTTAAGATGTACTAACATGTAAAGTCCATACAGAGTACATGATAAGTAATGATAGCTACAGAAAGTCATTTCTTCACGGGTCATATATAATAATAAAATAGATCTGAGTATCTCATCCTAAGCTTCAAACTTTTCAATGGATCCCCACTGTCTACAATTGCCACCAAACTCAGATCCAGCCTAATTGTTGCAGCCTCGCTTCTCATCTCGCTGCCGTACACCTTGTGCCCCTCCAAAGTGCCCAACCATGTCACTTAACTGTGTCTGTTTGCTTTTGCTGCTTCCTCTGCTTATAGAGTATACAGTTCTCAGGACCCACCCTTTCCAAATAGTCTTCTTAATACTCCACTCCATTTCCCCATCCATCAAAATCTGTACTCCCCTAGCCTTTTACACATGTCCATCCTTAAATCACACAATGCCTCTGTGCATGATAGTGACATATGTGTCTTCCTCTTTCTCTGTACTCAAAGCTCCTTGTAGACAATCTTACTTGGCTTGGTGACTCCAGTCCCTGGAAGTGCTTACCACACTGACTTATTTATGCACTTGCATAAATAAATGAAGGAAGTTTAAAGAAATCCAAACTGGAAACCCAGAAGCAACCTTCTCTAGTGTCAGGATAGTCCACATTTAGACTATGTGCAAGACAAATGCTCAGAGTGGCTTCCACAGGCTGGGACGTGGTTGCCAGGACTTCAATACTATCAAGTAACCATGGTGCTTAATTCCTAGGCATCCACAGCAGCCTTCCTATTTACAGTGCTCACAGACGTTACAACCTCTTCTTGGAGAAATGGAGAATTCTACATGCTCTTTTAGTCAACATTTTGAAAAAAAACACATCAGACAAGCATGGGAACGTGAGAGATGCCAGGACTCTACAAAAATCCCAGTGAAGTTATACAGGATGGAAAAAACAGAAAGAATAAAACCATTCAGTTAAATGGAGTCTTCCAGTTCTTCAGAACCATTAAGGCTTTAGATAGACTTAGGAAGGAAAACCCACCAGTCCACCACAGTATCATGGCAACCTTCAGAATCATTTAATTAAAGTCTCAGTCTCTAACAAAAACATTTCCACCACCACCTCCCAATCCTGACTTACGTAAGGCTCCTATGGCAAGAGATACCTTAGCCATTCTCAGTAAGGTATTCCAAGGAGTTCTTGCTTACATACCTACATTTTACCTTGCTGATGCAAAGGGGCATGGCCACCTTCTCTCATGCTAGCCTCAGTGGAGATTTTTTAAAGTTCAATCAGTTCAATCAGGCCTTCATCACTCTCCAACAATGTCTTTTTTTTTTTTTTGCGGTACTGGGGCTTATACTCAGGGCCTACACTTTGAGCCACTCCACCAGTCCTTTTTTGTAATGGGTTTTTTTTGAGATAGGGTGTCATGCACTATTTGCCTGGGCTGACTTCAAACCTTGATCCTCCTCATCTCTGTCTCCTGAGTAACCAGAATTATAGGCATGAGCCACTGGCACCTGGCTTAACAATGTCTTTTAGAGGAGAATAAGGTACTCTTCCTTGCTACCAAATAAGTATGCTTATATTATATTTATGGCACCCTAGAAATGTCTGTTTATCATGTTATGTCAAAGCCTGATACTATTCGAAATGGTTTTCTTTGTGGCTCACCACATACATGGGGTCTCAAGTTATCCAAAGTTAGATCACATCTTCACAAGAATTTACTAGGGACTCCCTATTTCTTTTTTTTTATTATTTACTTTTAGCTAATACATAAAAACATAAAAATTATACATATTACTGTGGTGGGACTGCGTATTTATGACATTTCATACTGTAGAAAAATCCAAACATTGAGAGGAAATCAATTGTCTGGTGAATAAAAACTTAAAGATTAGTACTATTGTTTCTTAATCACAGGATTTTTTTTAGTAGAGTGCATCCATTTCTAATTACATTGGCATAGAGGCGGCAGGATGTATTCAAATGGCCTTCATGTTTAGCACAGCATGTGGTAAATACTATTTGCTTCTGATAATGAAAGGGGATAGAAAAAAGAAGGAAATTCTGGTATGTATGTGATTAATCTTACTTCAATAAAAAAATGAGTAAGCCCAATAATAGAGGGGAAGGAGGGCTGAGTAAGAACAAAGGAAGAAGACATGTTTGAAAAAAAAAAAAGCGGAAACACATTTAGATTAAAAGAGAAGCAAAAGAGTAAAAGTAGAGAAAAGATAAAAATTACCACTAGATATAGGACCAAACTATGAATTCAAAATGAGCTCAAAATCAGGCATTATTTTTTTCTCTTCAGCTTTCTATAATAATCGTACTGTGAAGACCTTCAAAATTAATTGATGTGTGCAACAAGAATGTGAATAACCATACATCTCAGCAAGGAACATTACATGCTGACGTGTCTCCCACGCAGGTGTCCAGGGTCAGAATTAATCTAACAGACGTACCCAGGGCTGATTTTCATGAATTTCAAATAGTTAGGTTAGTCAGCTCAGCTTCTAAAAACAAGCAGATCTAAAATGGCAAGGTTGCGGGGGAGGGAGGTGTTTTTTGATAATTTTTTTTTGTTTTTATTTTTTTAACTTTTTGAATGCTGAGCTACTTATACAGGTGGCAGCACCAAGATGTCTGAAAGCACAATGGCCCTAGCATTCAAATCCGTGATGATGAAAAGCAAAGTAGCAGGAGGTGTCCCCTGGTTCCATCCAGATGGCAAGGTCCGCCAAGGCAAGAGCCAACCTGCCCCTGATTTGAAAGGGCAAGGGAAAGCAATGTGTAAATTGCTTCATCTCCCTGCTGTTATTTTGATACAAATCCTCCAGGGTCAAGGCCAGTCCCAGAGAAAAAAAAAAAAAAAAAAAAAAAAAAAAAAAAAAAAAAAAAAAAAAAAAAAAAAAAAAAAAAAAAAAAAAAAAAAAAAAAAAAAAAAAAAAAAAAAAAAAAAAAAAAAAAAAGAAAAAAAAAAAAAAAAAAAAAAAAAAAAAAAAAAAAAAAAAAAAAAAAAAAAAAAAAAAAAAAAAAAAAAAAAAAAAAAAAAAAAAAAAAAAAAAAAAAAAAAAAAAAAAAAAAAAAAAAAAAAAAAAAAAAAAAAAAAAAAAAAAAAAAAAAAAGAAAAAAAAAAAAAAAAAAAAAAAAAAAAAAAAAAAAAAAAAAAAAAAAAAAAAAAAAAAAAAAAAAAAAAAAAAAAAAAAAAAAAAAAAAAAAAAAAAAAAAA